CGATAACACTTGGTGACACCCCCTCCGACGATCCCCGCAGAATGGATCGCATCTGCGGATTGAGCATAATGAATCGGACTCCGATCCATTATGCTCCCCAGTCCGTAGATCCGATCCATCCTGCGGGGATCGTCGGCTTTCTTTACAACCTACCTTTTCGTGGAGTGGGTCCGGTGTCACCCCGTATAGGTTGCATGCCGACGATCCCCGCAGGATGGTTCGGAGCTGCGGATTGAGCATAATGGATCTGAGTCCAATCCATTATGCTCGCCAATCTGCAGATCTGATCCATCCTACAGGGATCGTCGGTATGCAACCTATACGGGGTGACACCGGATTCGCTCCACGAAAAGGTAAGTTGTAAAGAAACCCATCAGCTTGCTTTACAACTTACCTTTTCATGGAGCAGGTCCGGTGTCACCCCATGCAGTAGGTCTCACCCGTTGCGGCGCGCACCCCCCGCACCTGCCTAGGGACGCCGCTGCCCCTATATCAAGTATGTTGACCACCACTGGTTTAGTACAAGTATTACATGTATTTAAGGAATAATCTTAGTATTTCTAAAGTAAACTTTTTTTTTTTTTAATTAAAATACCAAACATGTTATACTCACCTGCTCTGTGTAGTGGTATTGCACAGAGCGGCCTCGATCCTCCACTTCTTGGGTACCCCGATTTTGACTCCTCCTCTTCTTTCTGTGTCCCCCATAGCAAGACATTTGCTATGGGGGGCACACAGTGTCTGCGTGCTCACAAGCTGTGTGACACACAGCGTGACGTAGCCCCTCTCCCCCACTTCCTCCTAATTGTGGCCCTATGTTATGAGGAAGAGAGGGGAGAAGAGATGCAGCTGGATATATTCTTCCCTGTCTTCCCCTTCACACAGGGAATGGAGAGCACAAAGGAATATAAAACATTTTTTACCCTTATGCAAGGAATGTATTAAAGTGGTTCTAAAGGCTCCCATTTTTTTTACCTTTATGCATTCTATGCATGTAAGTAAAAAACCTTCTGTGTGTAGCAGCCCCCCTTGCACCCCCTAACACCTGAGCCCCATCCCGTGCTAGCAATGTCATTGAGAGCCTTGGTTCTCCGGGGACTCCCACTCCTGATTGGCTGAGGCAGCAGTGGCAGCCATTAGGTTCCGCTGCTGTCAGTCACAGCCAGTAAGCCAATCAGGAGGGGGTGGGACCAAGCAGCAGCTCTGTGTGTTAAATGGACACGTAAAACCACAGCTCAGGAGTGCGCCTGCTTGGACCCGACAGGAGGGAGGGGCCAGGAGTGCCGGCGGGGGACCCGAGGAGGATCCGCGCTGCTCTGTGTAAAACCACTGCTCACAGCAGGTAAGTATAAAAAAAAGACTTTAGTATCACTTTAAGGTAAAAATTGTTTTTAGCTTTTGTATCACTTTAAATTTCTACCTCAGACATCTGATACAGCCCTAATAAGCAACAGCAAGTTCATTACTCTCCCGTTGTGACTATGAGGAATATTTACTAAAACTGTATGGTGCAACATCTGCTGCGGCTCTGCAAAGAAACCAGTCAGTTGCCAAGTTTTATTGTCAAATCTTAATTGAACAAGCTGGAGTAAGGCCGGCCATACATAGGTCGATTTTAGTTTTTTCGTTCGAAAATTGGACCTAAGTATATTCGGTCAATTTTCGCTCTGTTAGTGAGGCAATGGCACTGGCAGATTTTCGTGGTTCCTCCCCATTTAGTTTATCAGGCATGCAGGAACATTTGTGAAAAACAACCAATTTTCAAAATCATTGGTGGCACCATCGGATTACATAATGAACAATGTTTTTGTTCGAAAAAATCCCGTGGAATTCGACCCATGTATGCACTGCTTTAGAGGCTAATTGGCTACTATGCACAGCTTCAGCAGGTTCTGAGTGCACCAGTTTTTAGTATTTCTAAAGTAAACTTTTTTTTTTTTTTAATTAAAATACCAAACATGTTATACTCACCTGCTCTGTGTAGTGGTATTGCACAGAGCGGCCTCGATCCTCCACTTCTCGGGTACCCCATTTTGACTCCTCCTTTTCTTTCTGTGTCCCCAAATCTCCCCATTTTGTTTATAAATCTAATAGCAGATATTGCCTGCAGGCAATGGATGTAGGAGAAATCTAAAATTGAAATTGACTGAGGTTCAGCAGTAGCTTTGGCATAGCTCTTTCAAATGAATGTGCCACAAACCGGGGAAATATAGACTGGCAATATAATGAAAAACTAATAAACATAGGTCATCATCTGCAAAAGTACAAGCATGGCTAAAGGTAATTGCAAAATGGTAAAAACTGTTACCAAACTGTTACCATCTCCTGAGCCTCCCTATTGGTTCTTTGATATAAAAGATGGCCTTACTGTCTAATGATGTGACTTGGGAGGGGTATAGTCAAATGCAGATTTACAGGAAGAGTTAAGATTTGGCTATACATTTAGCTGCCTATTTCACAAGAGCTACTGAGAATTCGGACTTCCTGTCTGCAACAGTTCATGTTTGTAAAAGGTTCTATGAGATGGGGAAACAGCTTTCTTTGTTTGAACACTGATTGAAGTAAATTAAAAATGTTCTGACTGACATTCTGCAGTTTAGCCACAAGATGTCGCTGTTTTGTTCTAACACAGCCTCAGACTGCATAGACTCAGACTGCACCCCTTATTCATGAAGGGGTGGGGTTTGACACTTGGAGCGTGAACAGGAAAAAGGAGAGAGAGCAGCCATGCTTGAGAGAGAGAAGGGGGGCTGTGTGATCGGAGAATCCGTTGCCATCCAGCTGTGAAGACTGCCCTCCATAATCAGAAATCCCATTGAGTAAAGCTGATGGTGTTCAAGACGCTAATCCTGTCCAAAGAGGGGAAGATTTGCTGCCAGGAAGCTGATGAGGACAGAGGAGCAAAGCAACATACATTGCTGATAACATCGCAAGAGTAGTGGAGAGACTTTTGTTCTGTTCAGAGTCATCAGCAGATGAAATACAGACCCGGGTCAGTAAGAATTGTGCACGCACCTCCTTTCAGTGTTGGCGCCTATAAGACTGAGACAGGCCTAGTTAGTTAGTTAGGGTCTCTGTTTGTGTCAGGCCACAAGTTTATTACTGATCATTGGAAGGAGTGACATTTCACATTGGATAAAAATCCTACAAACTCAAGCCAGACTGGTGTTTTGCTCAGAAGGAATACTCAGGCACGTGCTACAGGAGCAGTTATGGGAGAGGGAATACTGTAGATTTGTGTAAGATTGTAAGCTGTTGTGCTGCACCGCAGGCTAGCCCATACCATACACCCATACACTGATTCCTGCTCTTTTAGGGTAATAACAGGTAAGGTGTGGCAGCTTATTAGTGCCCGCCAGTAGGTAAATTAACTAAACTTTCTACCTTCATCCATCAGCAGCACAAGGGTCTCAGCCTTTGCGCTGGGTGTATGTAAATATATTGTATGTTCCCAGCATTTGGGGCTGTGTTTATTTGCCACATCTAAGTAAAATTCTGTTGTGGCAAAAGCTGGTGTTGGGATTGCTTTCCTCGTTCGTGACTTCACTGTATCCTGGGGAGCCCACCCCGGTACACGGCTTACAGTTCAGTTTAAGGTGACCCGATATACACGCTAGAAACTAGATTGTTGATTGAAATGCTAGAGATAAAATAATTCAATTAAGAAAATTCTAGCTTCAGGGAATCTACAGTCCTTTATTTAGCTCACTAACACCAACTATATCTGTTGCTGTAAAAGGATCAGACAGTGGAGCAGGGTAACATGATGACAGACTTGTGTGCAGCTATACTGAGGTTTGTGTTTCCTGTGGTCATAATTTTGTGCATGATATTACTTTCTCCACATCAGACCTACTTCTGTATGATTCCACTAATCCCTAGTCATCTGATTGTCAGCCTGTGCTGCACTTCAAAGCTGCTTAGTTGCAGTGATCATTAGGCAGTTGGGAAGGTTTCTGGGGTGGCAGGGGTACGTTGCTCTTCTACGTGTTAGCAGACAATACGATATTGATCAAAACTTAGTGCACAAAGTCTACCATGACATCCTCCCAGGCTAAACTTCAACTTTTATCTCTTTCTTTTCTGGTTTCTTCTGGCTTTAGGTGGGTTGAGGGTTAAAAGGAGTCAGGATAATTGCTGATGAGAATGAGAACTCTGCTGATTAAATGCTGAAGACTGCAGTTATGTTGAGAGTGACTCAGGACAGAATTGTACTGCCCTGTGCCCTAGTACATGTACTTACATGACTTTCCTAATACTAAGGATGCTGACTGTAAGTCGATATATAATAAACTAAAGCAATTTAAGCATTTGTCTGAATGCTCTATATACAGTATCTAAAAAAAAAACAACTCTGAATAGTAACTGATAATAGCCGGTTGTTAGTGTGAATTTTACTTTTTGCTCCCATTATATACAATAAGCCCTGGTTCACACTGAATGCGACTTTGAAGTTGCGCTACTTCACTTAACCACTTGCCTACAGGGCACTTATACCCCCTTCCTGCCCAGGCCAATTTTCAGCTTTTAGTGCTGTTGCACTTTGAATGACAATTGCGTGGTCATGCGACACTGTACCCATATGAAATTTTTATCCTTTTTTGAGACAGAGCTTTCTTTTGGTGGTATTTAATCACCTCTGGGTTTTTTATTCTTTGCTAAACAAACCAAAAACAACTGAAAATTTTGAAAAAAAAAAAAAGTTTTTTCTTGGTTTTTGTTTTAAAATTTTGTAAATAAGTGATTTTTCTCCTTCACTGATATGCGCTAATGAGGCTGCAGTGATGGGCACTAATAGGTGGCATGGATGAGGAGGCACTGATGGGCATTGACAGGCATCACTGATGGGCACTGAAAGGCAGCACTCATATATGGCACTGATAGGCGGCACTGATAGGCGGTACTGACTGGCACTGATAGGCGGCACTGACTGCCACTGATAGGTGGCACTGATAGGCAGCACTGACAGGCACTGATAGGCGGTACTGATGCGCATTGATAGTCGGCACTGACTAGCACTGATAGGTAGCACTCACTGGCACTGATAGGTGGCACTGATTGGCAGCACTGATAGGTGGCACTGACTGGCATTGATAGGAGGCACTGTCTGGCACTGATAGGTGACACTGAAAGGCAGCTCAGATGAGCACTGATATGTGGCATTGATGTGCACTGGTAGGCACTGATATGTGGCATTGATGTGGCATTGATGCGTACTGGCAGGTGGCACTGATGAGCACTGACAGCTGGCACTGATGGACACTGACAGGTGGCACTGCTGACGCTACACTGATCATCAGGGCACACTGATCATCAGTGCCCTGATGATCAGTGTAGATGTCCCCTCCGAGGAATGGCGATTACCGGCTCTCCTCTCCTCTCGAGCTGTCATCGTGACAGCTCGTGGGGAGAGAAATGCCGATAACCGGCATTTCCCTATTTACATGAGATCAGCTGTGATTGGACACAGCTGATCACAAGACCGAGCCGAAATCTTTGGCTCTTTCCGTTGATCGGTGATCCACTGTGTCTGGGGGATACAGCGCACCGCCGATCGCTGCGTTGTGTGCTCCCAGAGCCGCGCATGCACGGTTAGAATGGGAAGACATTATATGACGTCCTCCCAGAACGAGAGAACCACTTTGCGCCCGTCATTTCCTTATATGGCGGGTGGGAGGTGGTTAAAGTAGTGCGATTTCAAAGCCACAAATCAGTGCAATTTGTACCTTTGATTTCACTGCGTTAATACAAGTCACGATGAAATCGGAAAAAAAGTGTAGGAACTATTTTTGAAATTGCGTTAATTCAAATAGCACTGATTAAGCCCCGGTTCACATATAAGTGGCTGTGCGGGTCGCGTTTTGCGCAGGCACAAGAGCCCATTTATTTGAATAGACTCCCATGCCCCGTGACACACAGAGAAGAAGTCCCTGCACTTCTTCCAAAAAGGCAGCCCACACAGGAACCTTGGTTCCCAATATGGTTGCGTTTTCCAGTGCGGGCAGCATGCCATTAGAACTAATGGCACCTGCCCGCGGGTCCGCATTTCTCTTTGTGGGTGGTGTGGCTGCACAGATGTGAACCTATGCAGGCCATAGATGGGGAGAAAAACTGCAGATTTTTCTTTTAAAAAACGAAAAATCGGTTGTTCAAGTGGCCGACGTTACCATCAATGGTAAAAAAAATCGGCCGATTTTCTACCCGTCTAGAGCCGGCAAAAAGTGTCCCTGCAGAGAGCTCTGCTATTTCTTTGACAGTTCTCTGACAGTTCCTGACATTTATAGAAGTTGCAACAATGTATCTATTTGTTTCCATTTAGGATACAGATGTTTTTATTCAGAAACAAATAGATACAATGTTTTCAACCGCTGTAAATGTCAAGGAACTGTCAGAGAACTGTCAGAAATAGCGGAGCTCTCTGCAGAGACACTTTATGCTGGACTGGAATTCTTCTTATTTTCATCCTACTTCTTCTTCTTCTTCTTCTTCTTCATCCTCATCCTCATCCTCTTCTTCTTCTTCTTCATCCTCATCCTCTTCTTCTTCTTCATCCTCATCCTCTTCTTCTTCTTCTTCATCCTCATCCTCTTCTTCTTCTTCTTCTTCATCCTCATCCTCTTCTTCTTCTTCTTCTTCATCCTCATCCTCTTCTTCTTCCTCATCCTCTTCTTCTTCCTCATCCTCATACTCTTCTTCTTCATCATCATCCTCATCCTCTTCTTCATCATCATCCTCATCCTCTTCTTCTTCATCATCCTCCTCTTCTTCTTCTTCTTCTTCTTCATCCTCATCCTCTTCTTCATCCTCATCCTCTTCTTCTTCATCATCATCATCCTCATCCTCTTCTTCTTCTTCTTCTTCATCCTCTTCTTCATCTTCTTCTTCTTCATCCTCATCCTCTTCTTCTTCCTCATCCTCTTCTTCTTCCTCATCCTCATACTCTTCTTCTTCATCATCCTCATCCTCTTCTTCATCATCATCCTCATCCTCTTCTTCATCATCCTCATCCTCCTCCTCTTCTTCTTCATCCTCATCCTCTTCTTCATCCTCATCCTCTTCTTCTTCATCATCATCCTCATCCTCTTCTCCATCCTCATCCTCTTCTTCTTCATCATCATCCTCATCCTCTTCTTCTTCATCCTCTTCTTCTTCTTCATCCTCTTCTTCATCGTCTTCCTCTTCTTCTTTTTTTTCTTCTTTTTGTCTTCCTCTTGCAGGTCACTGCTCATGCGCAGATTTTTTATTGGTAAAAAATCGGCCGATTTGCCCACTAATAATTCGAAAATCGGCCGATCGGCAAAATCGGCCGATTTTTTTCCAACTTTACCGAAAAACAAAAACGGCCAAAATACCGAAAAACGGCCGACCAAATCGCCCACTAACGATCCGAAAATCGGCCGATTTTATTTTCGGCCGAAAAATCGGCCGATTTTCGACCCGTCTATGGCCTGCACTAGCCTGACACAGTGCTATAGAAATACATTTGGCGCGACTTCAGGTACAAATTGCATATCAAACCTGAAGTTGCACCGGTGTAAACCAGGGCTAAGGCTGGCCATATATGATACAATTTTCTTGTACTATTTTCCTTTAGATTTAGCAAAAAGCATATAATATGAGGTCAAACCTAAACAACACTTTCAATTGTATCCAATTAGGCAGGCCCTTTCACTACATAGTTGAAGGTAAATGTAAAGGAAATTGTACAGAGAATTGTCAGAAAATTGTATAATGTATGGCCAGCCTTAGTCATCACTGGAATATTTGTTTACAAAATCTATGTTTAAAGACATATTTTACTGTCACTGAAAAAGTGTAAATCCCTGAGATTGGAAGTGATGGCTAGTGTCAGGGATCATCTCTCTCAGACCCAACTAATCTGTTAACAGTCACCCTCAGGTTTTCTTACATTTCTTTGCCTATGTAGAAAGCCAGCACTGCTCCTTACTGGAAAACCTACTGATTTTAATGGATTTTACCATTTATACTGTACCTACTTCTTCTGCAAAAAATGTTAGCATAGCGCCTACATTGCACCCATTCGAATCAGTGGATTACTTGGGGAGATGATGAGTACTTTTTTTTTCTTAGTCAAATAAGCTGCAAGTGGCAAGTCAGCCTTTCCTGACTGGATACTGGTTAAAAAATATACAGTACAAGTGTCATGTTTCACATGACTGTCATATTGACTGTTATATGCCTTTAAGTATTTCTATATTTTGTGTCTGCTCCTCCTTTCCTTTGGTTTAGTTAATACTGTATAGATAGCCCTCCCCCTTTCCCAAAAATGCATTGCAGCTCTAGCCTCATGTCATGGAGCAGGAAACATTATGATCTTTTGACCTATTGAATGTTTATTGTTGTAAGATTCTCTCAGTTTATGGAATAAACTTCACAAGATCTACAAGATGTCTTATTGATTGAGTCACTGACTGTGGTATCCAACTGAGGTTGATGTTATCGCTATCTCATCAGAACTGTAAGTTACAGAGATCACACTTTCAATGCTTAGATTTGAGAGACAGAACAGTCAAAAGATCAGTGGAATGCTTCATAGGATCCTCACTAGTCAAAGGATCAGTGAAATGTCTTCATAAGAATCCTTGCTAGCTAGAATACAAAGTGAGATGTTATATGGATACTGGATATAACAGCTATAGAGAGTGCAGCTATCTCTACACAAGTCTGTACATGCCTCCAAGTATATCCCAGCATAACACTCATCTGTGTCAGGACAAATTATTGATGTGAATGTTTTACAACTGCAAGTTTATTCACTGCATCTGTATACATTACCACAACTCTTGCCTGTGAACTTATAAGAAAGAAAAAAGAAAGCCTTCTGCAATCATTGCCTAGGAAACCTGAACTCACCCACTGAAAAAGTGATACATTTCTCTGTAAACTTTCTATCAACCCATCTCCTTGCTAATATGATGTTTCAGGAAAGTAATATACAGTCTGGGGAAACCAATACACAACCACAATCAGAGCTTCATCCAGAGAAAAACGTTTAAGAAATCCAACCTGGAAAGTGCAAGAAAATCTTAATGCTGACAAGTTAGAATTGCTGTCTATTATTAATGACTTATGGTCTAATACTGTTAAATGCATGTCTTCTCTCTCCCCAACAATCTTGAGCCAATACAACTAGAGGGCGCTATCCAGCAAGAGAATGTTGCTTATGAGAATTATCAAAGACTGTGTGTTAAATATATTGCTCTGTTAAAGCGGTACAACACTCAAAGGTCATTGGAAGAATTAATGAGTTTTGAGGAGCTCAATCTTGAAAGAGACAATTTAGTGGTGCGAACAAAGACAAAGGCAGAAGTGAGAATAACACAGCTCCACGAATCCAGATCTTATCGCTCTGCGTCTACTAGACCCTCCTCAAGATCTTTCAAATCCCTACAATCAAGGTCTTCTACACTCAGTCAACAACTAATATAAGCCCGTGCTGATGCTGAAGTTTCTAAAATTCAGACAGATTTTGCCCAAATGAAAGGAGAAATAGAGTCTCAGGCCACATATAAGAAAGCAGAGAAAGAAGCTGAAGCCGCACGCCAAAAGGCAGAAATTTAAGTTTTGGAAAAATAATGTGAGCATGCCACAGCCGTGGCAAGGTTAAGGGTCTTAGAACAAGCCGCTAGTGAAAACGAAAGAGACAACAGTTCCAGACACTCAGTTGTATCTTATGTCTAAGATTCTTCACACACCTCTCCAGAACGTCAACTCCCTGTCACAACAGCCAAAGTACTCCATCAAAGTCTCTTCTCTCTGCATCTACCGTACCTCAGAACCATTTGCCCTTATATCCTCCAATACATCAGACTGCAGCATCTCAGCTAGCCGCAGACACTGGTGTGTGTTTAATAGACCGTCCATCATACTTTGGCACCAACAGAGTACCTCCTAGTAAACGCACTACTCTACAAACCAACATGCAAATGGACTCTAAGCCAGCTCCGGCATTGAATGCCTTAGCAGCACCATATGTTCCCAAATCACTCCACGTAAGTCCACCAACCGTCACAACCAACTCTGTTCCACCTGCAGTCATGCACCCAAAATATGAAAACACGGATATGTCACAGTTTGCTAAATACATTCTCTGCAGAGAGCTTGTTAAGACAGGCCTCATCAAGTTTGATGACAAGCCTGAAAATTACAGAGGCTGGAAATCCACTTTTAAGGCCACAATGAGTAACCTAGACATCAATGCCACAGAGGAATTAGATCTACTCATCAGATGGCTAGGTCCCCAGTCTAGTGAACGCATCAAGAGGCTCAAAGCAGTTCATATTGACAACCCTGCCGCAGGCCTTAATGCTGCTTGGGGCAGACTTGAACATACCTTTGGCAGCCCAGAGGCCATTGAAGATGCTTTATTCAAAAGGTTGCAAAGCTGCCCAAGGATTTCTGCTAGCGACAATCTAAAGTTTCAAGAACTCAGCGATGTTCTCTTAGAGCTTCAAATTGCTAAGGCTGACATCAACTTACCTGGTCTCAGTTACCTTGACACTTCTCATGGCATCAAATCTATTGTTCTCAAGCTACCATATGGAATTCAAGAAAGATGGGCAGCGCTTGGATCAAAGTATAAGGAAGAACATAGAGTTGACTTTCCTCCTTTTTCCTACTTCTGCAAGTTCATCAAAAGAATTGACACTAAGAATGACCCAAGTTTCTCATATGGTGACTGTAACCTTCTCAGTATACTCTCTCCAAGACCTACGAACACACGTATGTTGCACAGAGACCGTAGAGGTCCAGCGTTAGTGAAAAGGACTACTGTTCTACCTGCACCTGCTACAGTTCTTGAAAAGACTGAGCAAAACAAGAGAATTGAGGACCCAAATCGCCAGTGTCCAATACATAACAAACCTCATCCACTTAAGAAATATATCGGCTTCAGAAAGAAAACCCCCAAGAACGTAAGGAACTTTTGAAGAAATTTGGGGTTTGCTACAAATGCTGTGCCTCCACAGAACACTTTGCAAAGGACTGCAAAGCGATCATCAAGTGTATAGAGTGTGACAGTGATGACCATGTGCAAGCTCTTCATCAATATTCGCACAACTCTACTACGCTTACAATCTTCCTGAAGCAAAGCAAGGCGGGAAGCGCCCAGATCAAACAGCACCTACCACCCCAGTGTTCTCTACATGTACAGAGGTCTGTGGAGAAGGCTTCTGCGACAAATCCTGTGCAAAGATATGCTTGGTCTGTGTATACTCCAAAGGTCGACCTGAAAAGGCCATAAGACTGTATACTATTCTGGATGATCAGAGTAACAGATCTCTTGCAAGAACACAGTTTTTTGAACTGTTGAACATAACTGGAGATGCTCTGCCTTATACTCTAAGCACTACAGAAGTCTTAGGTAGGAGAGCCAGTGGTCTTGTAGTTGCTCCTCTGAATGACAATGTGGATATATCTTTGCCCATTATCACTGAGTGCAACCAGATTCCAAGCATCAAAGAGGAGATCCCTACTCCTGAAGCTGCTTTTCACCATTTTCACTTAAAGCTCATAGCCAACCAAATACCAGCCCTCGATGAAAGGGCCGATATCCTGCTGTTACTTGGTCGAGACATCCTAAGGGTGCACAAAGTTCGTCATCAAATCAACGGTCCACACAATGCACCCTATGCTCAGCGTCTGGATCCAGGATGGGTCATCATAGGCAATGTCTGCCTAGACAAGGACAGGAGGTCCTACTCAGTCTCTTCCTTTAAAACACATTTCCTCTCAAATGGACGAACAACTTGTTCTGCACAATGACCACATAAATATATTGTGAAAGAAAGACTGTTTGATAAAGGTGCACAACAGCACATCATACAAGACAATAAGAAAGCTCTTAATCTCTGGGATGACAACATCGGCAACACAGTGTTCGAGGTAACCACTAAAGACAATGAGTTGGCAGCTACCATAGAAGACAAAGAATTCTTGAAAACCATGAGTAAAGAGTTCCACAAAGATGATTCCAACAGTTTGGTAGCACCTCTACCATTTCTTACCCCAAGAAAGAGACTATCAAACACCAGGGTACACGCAGAATCACGGTTTGTTTCTTTAAATCGCAGTTTGAACCAGAAACCTGAGATGAAAAAGCACTTTGTGGACTTTATGCAGAAGGTGTTTGAGAGAGATCATGCTTAGCCTGCACCGCCTCTTATGGAAGGAGAAGAATGTTGGTATCTACCATACTTTGGGGTCTACCATCCTCGCAGGCCTGATCAAATTAGGGTGGTCTTTGACTCAAGTGCTCGTTATGAAGGCGTCTCCCTCAAATGACAATCTTCTCACTGGGCCTAATCTGAACAACAATCTCGTAGGAGGTTTACTTTGCTTCAGACAAGAGCCAATTGTTGTTATGGCTGACATTCAGCAGATGTTCCATAGTTTCATTGTCTGTGAAGACTACAGAAACTTTCTCAGGTTCCGATGGTACCGCAATAATGATGTCAACGATGAAGTCATAGATTATCGAATGAAGGTACATGTTTTTGGTAACAGTCCTTCTCCTG